CTCTGTTTTACTGTATCACTGTTAAGCAGGCCTTTGGTAATCTCGGATTACTGGCCGGTTACGGTGCTAAACCCATAGGGGCGGGTTTGGGTCGTGACATTATGCTTCATGCCCTAATTTTTACTAATGTGTGAAATATTGTTAGAACTGATGGGATAGAACTCTAATTATTGAACATTTTTGAAGCTTTACGGATTTGACAAATTACCTATGCTATGGAAAATGTTTGGACTTGTATATATATACCTTTACTTGGGATGTAAATTGATTTAAACTCGACACACTCTTTTGTACCTACTGTATCATGAAATCATTGCCTTAACTATTGTATCTGGGAAGTTTGTTTAGTGTTTATCTGTACGTCAAACTTGTGAATACATACTAGGAATGTTATTAGATTCTGGACATATACATATATGACTATATCTTTACTCGAAATGATTTGTCATGTTATTTGTTTTGTTAACTAGACCATCGGGACTATGACTCTAGGATTGTGTGACTAAGGTAAGCACCCCAAATGATGAACTCTATATTCTGTAAGACTGTGTACTATGATTACTAAAAATTGACTAGACTATTTGACTAGACTAGTGAGCCTATGCTTTTGTGACTGTATGACTGATTTGGAACTTCTACATCACAAGCTCGCTATTATGTGCCACTGAGGAATTCTATGTTATGAACAACCGCATACTCGTACACCTACATGTCAACTTATTTGCAAAAAGCCATATTGTACATAACCTGAAGCACTTTGATTTGAGCCATTATAATGTATGACTCTGATGTGATTTTGAGAATTAATGAACTTAGAACAATTGTGAAACTACTGATTATGCACCTAAGCGAATGGAGTATGAACTATAGAACCAAATGTACTTCGTTTGAAAATGATGGGGATAGAACTTTTACCTGGTCTGATGAAACCTTTGTTTGAACTGATAGAACTTTTGTTTGATGACACATGCTCTGAACTTTTGTTTGATTTGACCAGATAGAACTTTCATCTGATGTGATCTGATAGGACTTTCATTTGATTTGATTTGAGGAGACCTTTACCTAATTTGAGAACTATTATCTGATTTGATTACGTTATGGGGGATTATGAATTACTTATGACCGAATGACCGGATTGGGTTGCTAAGGGAACTAATCGACTGAGAACTGGAATCAATTTTGAACACTTACGAAGAATGTGAACTGTCAATAACGGACCATGTGATTATAAATAGCTTTTAACCATATGCCTATAACTGATTAAGAACACACGTGAATGGGATCATAGGATTTTGTAACTTGTGCTTTGGGAATATGGGAATATTGTATGTATGACATGTGGTTAATTGCTCCGGTATTGTCGTTACTACCATGAACTTGTTTGAATAAGAGAATAATTGTTTTTGTATTACTGTACTTCGAAATTGATGTTATGGGACTTGTTGACAGCCAACTAGTTTGATTGTAAACCCTGACTACTTGGAAGTATATGTAATCAGTATGTTTTGTGAATGACTACTTCTGTATTAACGTATAGTACATTTGAATATGTGGAAACTGAGGCTGATGAAATGATTACTTTAGAATTACATTCACTGCTATGGGGTTAATATATGAATTTTCCTTGTATACCTGGTATCTTCTAAATGACTTTGAATAACTGTGGTGGATTTCTTAATCGAATACTGAATTGAACAATGAACTGTTGAATGACTAGAAAACAAATCAAGTCTCTGTAACAAACTGGATAGGGAGGAAACCACTATGAAAATGGAAAACAGTGTGAACCTCAGACATCTGATTTGCATCTAATATATATATATGGTAACTCAAGTTTGGAGGACCAAACTTCTTAAGGTGGAGAGACTGTGACAACCCCGATCTGTAATTAATTACTAATCCATAATTAAGGATGTTAATTAAGTGATTAAAATAAATTATGTGTTTATTGTGTATTTTGCATGCTATTTGACTTTCTATCTATTAATCGTAGTAATATCTATTGTGAAATTTGCTTTGATTTGAAAATTGAAAGCCTTATCGGCATCTGAAACTGAAATTGGTTTCATTAATATGTTATTTAGAATTTTTAGAATCATATGGAAAATTTTATTAAAAACTTATTCAGTTTACTTATTAAGTTGTGTTTGATTGGCCAAATGTTCTAATTATTGTATTAAGCCACTACAACTATATAAACATGACCCTTAAGCTCATTTGAACTCATCTTTGCCCATTGTTAAGTGCAAAAATCTGAGATTGTATTATAGAGAGAGAGTGAGTTCACTCTTAGAGAGAGAAAGTGTAGGAATTAAGGAGAAATTGAAGGCTTTGGCTTGAATTCTTCAAGATTGTGCTAGTATCTAGCTAATTAAAGACTCTAGGTAAGAATTCAATCTTTAAATTGTGAATCTAAGTCATCTAGCATGAGATTTCATCAAGATTATGAGTTTAAATGCATAAAATAAGCTTAGAATGAAGGAAATGTTGCCAAGTCAAACATGCATGTATGAAATTGTCAAGAACTCTCATGTTTGAGCATCAATCATGCCATTAAAGGTGAAATTAAAAGCTAGAAGTCACATGCATGCATAATTCATAAAGGTTTGAGGCTCAATTGCATGTGTTTAAAGTGGAAGGAAAGAATTTGAATGAATTTGGGACATATATGCATGGAAATAGGAAGTTCGGCCATGTTGAGTTTGGTTTTGGGCATCTAAATTGTTCTTGTAAGTTATTTGGCACATTCATGTTTGAATCATCTTGTTTACCATTTAAATTCATGTTTTGAAAAGGAATTTCTTACATGTAAGAGCTTTTGAGCTCAATTTTGGAAAATTGAAGAGGTTTTGAGAAAATGATTTGTGAATCATCTTGTGTTTGAGTTTTCTAAAATGTTTTTATGATTATTAAAGTGTTTCTATTAGTTTGAAATGGCCATGGAAGTTTTTGCATGTTAAAATGCATTTTTAGAACTCAAATTTTATGTCTAGAAACCCAGAAAATTCACAACTGGCTCAAGCAACCAAGTGGTGGCTCGAGCCAACATGCTCCTAGTATTTTGAACTCTGCAAAAGTTGGCTTGAGCGAGCTCAGTTTTTGCCTTCAGCTGGCTCTAACGACGAAAAGCTAGCTTTAGCTAACAGCTTATTTCTAGCATGTTTTGAAAAGATGTTTTAAGTACATATCTTTGCTCCCATCCTTTTCTGAGCATATTTAGGCATGAATTAAGAGTCATTAAATAGTAATAAGCTAAAGAATGTCATGAATAATTGAATTAGAAAATATGAGACAAATCCGAGATCCGAGAATGTAATTCGCGTATATAAGTTATGAGAATGGACTGAATAAGAAACCAATATAAAGAAAGCTAAGCCATAATGGCCAAGTGCATGTGTAATGATAAGCTATGTTTGTGTTATGTGCTTTTGTGTTTGTAGGTCCACGTTTGACGATTGATTGACCGTTTCTGGAAGCTCACTGTGAATAACGTTATTATAAAGATATGTTCATATGAATTATGTTATAAATGTGATTTGATAAGTCATGATTTTTGAAATGATATTTATTTACGTGAATGAATGTCCTATGCTTGAAATCTATTATGGCATCCATAGATAGTCTCAAGTCATGGGAGACGGCATGTTAATGCGGTCTATGACATATATGTGATTACGAGACCTCGTTAATCACTTGTCAAAGTAGTGATGTGTTTAATCAGTATCCGAAACCGAATACTCTAGTCGGATGACGATGTGATATGTTCTATGAGATGTACCATTATTATGTTTGGATATGAGAATGATTATGTTATGATCTGTTTTATGATTATAAAATATTCGAATTTCGTTCACTAACCTCTTTATCTTAATATTATTCACTAGATTTTAACTCACTGTTTGTAAATACATATATATGTAGATGAGTGTGTGCAGGACTAGGCCTGAGGGCTTTTGTTTGATTTCTGTTTTGTCAAGCCAACCACCGTGCCTCACATGGAGGTTCCTGAAAGTCAATGTGATAAAGATGTTTTGTGACAAGTTTTAAGCTCTTAATGTCTTTTGTTTATTTTGTATATAGGGCTAAGCCCTTTTTTGTTGTAACTGCATTTAGTTGGCATAATGATGATGTTATGATATATGTATGTAAATGTTTAAAGTTATCAGTCTCATATAAGTCAGCACAGTTCATTCGACAATTATATTTATGTATTTGCTTCAGCTAGCCCCTTAATTTTGTTTAATCTATTCAAAGGCCTTCGGTAATCTCAAGATTACTGACCGGTTACGATGCTAAACCTATAAGGGTGGGTTTGAGTCGTGACAATGTATCTGATAAATGTCAAATTAATTTAATCTTTTTATGTGCCAAATATTAAATCTTATATGTATGCATGTAATTTGGGAGAATTCTATCATACACACTTCTTACCATATACACTCTTAATTGTATCATTTTTTTTAGTTATGGCTAATTTTCTTCTTTAGTTATGACATTATTTTGATATTTTTAGTTATGTCTCATGTAGTGTTTGGTTATAATTTTTTTTTTTTTTTTATAGTTATAATTCAAAAAGTATAAAATTATATCATTTCTTTAATTATAAAGTGCATATGGTGTATACTCTTTAAGAGGTGTGAATCATAACCTTTTCCTGTAATTTGACATATAAATACACATAAATCATCGTTTAAAAAAATGCACATAAATGATAAAATAAAACTGTTGATACCATCCACGAATGTGAGTATTTTGAGTCACGCACGCACGCGTAATTTACACGATGCAAGTCTGTAAAAAAAAAAATTCTACATAGATGAAAGAAATTTTGTGAAAGATCCATTAACGGCCAGCTAAAAAACACCTTATTTTTCTAATTTGAGCTAAATAGGTTACAATGTACAAATTATTTGTTCCCTCATTATCATAAACCCTTCATCATAAATATTTAATTGTAAAAACAAATCAAACATCATAATATCAATCTTGCTGCTCATACCGTTCTCTTGTTTTCTCCCAAATCACACAAAACACATTGCATGGAATCTCTCTATCTGTTTCCAATATAGTGGTTCAGATTTAAATAGCTCATAATTTTGATTGAGATACGAATTAAGGTAACGTCCTATACCATTGGTTTTTTTTTGTGTTTCTCAATAAAGAATGAATAAAAAAATTCACAAACACGAGATTTCATCTTAATTAAGCGATTTTCAAAATCAATTTTTGAACACAAAAAACAGAAAACGAAATCAGAAATTTATCACAAATAATTTTTTTTTATTATTTATTTTTGTATGATCAATTGATTGTAGGCACAAATGGAACTATTCCAAAAGGCAATTTCAGTTAAACTAAGCCACAACGACAAGTACCTGGTAGCAGAGGACGACCAAGAATCTGTGTGCCAAGACCGCGACGGTTCATCAAAAATCAATTCAATTTGGGTGGTCGAGTTGGCCGACGGAGGGGATTTCTTACGATTCAAGAGCTGTCACGGAAAGTACCTCACCGCCTCTAACGTCCCATTCCTTCCCGGCTCGAGCGGTCGCAAGGTCCTCCAAACCATTCCCAAAAAACATGATTGTTCCTCCATCGAATGGGAACCGATTAGAGACGGTTTCTCGGTGCGATTCAAGACGCGTTGCGGCCACTTCCTCCGCCCCAACGGCGGTCTTCCGCCGTGGAGAAACTCCGTGACTCACGACATTCCTCACCGGATGGGGACTCAAGAGAAGGTTCTGTGGGACATTGAGATTGTGGAGTCTCTTGGAAAAACAAACTCGCCGTTGCCATCGCTGTCGCCGAAACCCCACCCTACTACGCTGGCCTTTCCGACTCAGAGGGAGCCGCCGATCCTTGCACTTCCGCCGCTCAAATTCAAGGTGAAGCATTGGTTCGTTGCGTTTCCTCATTCCTCGTCATGATGATATGAGTTAATGGATTGGGGCTTGATTTTTTTGTGTATATGGTGAGTAATGGAGATTTTTGTTAGAGAGCATCTGCATCCAGAAATTATCATACGGGTCACGAAGATTTCATATAATTGATGAGGCAGGCTGTTAACATGATTTTTTTAAAAGACAATACAATTAGCCGTGAATGTCAGATTGTCCAGTAAAATGTTATAATCAAGAGTTTCATTCATGTGTTGGTTTGTTGGTGAAGAACTTGCTTTGCTACATGTTCAGGTGACCACATATTTTGTTTTACTTTTTCCTATTTTCAAAAACAGAAACAATGAAGCGCTCATCAACACTTGTGATTTCAATTTCGTGTAAAAATAATTTTCAAATATTTTCTGCACACACAATTTGGGTGAACTTTGTTTAACTAATTGTATTAAGGATGAATATTACATGTTTATTCTCAATTTTTATTTATAAATAAAAACAAATGCTTGGGCAAAAAATATAATGACAAAGTGACGGAAGTCAAACCAAATTGTGTATTCAATAAAGTATAGATTACGTGGAGTACAGTGACATTGTTATTATTATTATTATTATTTTATTTGTGTAGATGTTCCAACTTCTAAGATTCGCGCTACATGGGCACAGTATGAATTTTTGTGGATGCACACATATCACTCAGAGTTTATTGATCATTTTTTACTTTTTGAGGAGACTTTATTGATCATTAAATTATGCAAATCTTTCTTATTATGGCGTGTCACTTTTTTTTGGTTCCCTTGATTTAAATGGTACAATCCATGCTCAAGTAAAAAATCATGCATGCTACTTTAAGGTAGTATGTCAAAAAGTAATATAGAATTCATTTGGGAAGTGGGTTATTTTTTGACTTTTTGATTTTTTTAGTTTATTTTAATTTGGGATTAAAAAATCTTGTTTGGAAAGGATTTTTATGGATTTGATGTGATGTTTTGTCATATTGAGCTAAAAAATCTATTTTAATTTTTTGTAGCTATTTTAGCCAAAAAAACCTAAACCCTCCCTTCCCAAACTAGCCCGTAATAAGGATTCGTTTGGGAAGTGAATTAACTTTTTGACTATTTTAGTCTGGGACTAAAAAAGCCTCGTTTGGGAAGAATTTTTTGGTTTTTTTGACTTTTTGTGAGAGAAAGAATATAATAATTATGGGTCGGGAGTAATGTTTTATCTTATTAGATTAAAAAGCCTATTTTATCTTTTTGTGATTAAAATAACTCCAAACCCAACCCAATCCAACCCAACCTATTTTTCCAAATAGAGGCTAATTAAACGATGGAATTCTTGCTCACCATCAAGAAAATATTAACAACTATGAGTAGGTGAGAACACAACAAAAATACATCACTCTCTATTTAATCTCTGAAAAACAAAAACAAAAAAAAAATAGCCCGCAAAAATTAATGAAAACTGTTAGAACACAAAATCAAATTGATTCAGAATTTAAAAACTCAACAAACATAAATGGCTTTTATTCATCTCCTTTATTCATAAATTACAAATCTTTACACGCACGTCGCGATGCTACTATATTACATATATAGGCTGAGCTTTCTCTACTTGATAGCCAACCGGAGGCACTATTGGGCCTTCATTGACCCACCATGCAAATTAACTTAGATAATATGAACCATTCTATTTTAGAACTCGTTGAGCAAATCATCCACATAAAAATTAAATTGATTGGACAATTATAATTTATTTTTATTTTTATTTTTTGTTTTTTTGTTACATAACAATCATAACTAAATGATCCAATGACATTTGTTATTAAAAAAAATGAGTGACAAATTTAATTTTAAGATTGGACCATTCATTATGTAGATGACAAATATAATCTAATTATACATTTACATGTTCAATAAATCTGATTTCTTATGATGATTTATTCAATTACATCTAATATCGAGATGAACCATGGATGCCCAATGTTACCTCTAATCAACAAAGCCAACTACAGATTAGTCTTGCCCAATATATATATACTATCCTACTATCATTCACAAGAACTTTCAAACAAATTTTCACTGATAGGAAATTATTGTATGCTCACATGAAATGTCCAAACACACCAGGAATACCTTCTCCCATCTATGTCGGTGATTAAATACTCATTAGTTTTATGTCCTCGATTAGGCGATCCAAATTACAATATGATAACCCACCTTCACTAACTGCTTTTTTAGCAAACTTTGCCATTTGATTTATCGATTTCATGAACTCCTCTCTCCTCACGTCCATCAGATCTTTCACCATCTTCTCAATGATGAGTCGATCCCAAGTATCTTTCATGTCCAACCCAAGATTCCAAATCTCTTCCACATACCTGCTATTTATCTGTTGGTCCCCAAAGCTAGGCAAGCAAATCATTGGCACTCTTGAAACAATACTCTCTAGAGTCGAGTTCCACCCACTGTGAGTTATAAACCCACCAATAGCTTGGTGAGCCAAGACCTCTTCCTGAGGAGCCCAACCAACCATGTACCCTCTTTCCTTTATACCCTCCACAAGCTCTGGCGAAATCTGACCTTCTCTAACTTCACTAGTCACAGAATCTGGCCTAATGACCCATAAGAATCGCTTCCCACTATTTACCAAACCATACCAAAATTCTATGAGTTTGTCCTTTGTTACCATTGTAAGGCTTCCAAAGCTTACATAGATCACAGATCTAAACGGTTGTGCATCTAGCCATTTCATACAACTCGTATCTTCTTTCCATAAACTGGTTGAGGAGGTCTGTATTGTTGTGCCATTGAGCCTAATCTTCAAGTGATCATGGAGTGGTCCGATGGTGTAAATTTTGGGACATTGAGAGCGTGTTTGAGAAAGTATAGGCCCTTCTAGCTCTTCAAATGTGTTGAATATTTGAGCTTGTGCTCGAGTTGAATGTAGGGTTTCTTTCAAAATCAATTGGAAGTCCCTATCAGCCACATCTTTAATACGAAAAAAACTTGGGAGGTCTCGACATCGAAGAAAATGCTCCATGCCCGGAATGCTTGTTATGGGTGCGTCCAAATTGTTTTCTACAGTTTGTTTGCAATTTGTGTTGGTAAAATATTAGAAGTGAAATGAAACAGAAGACCTTGTTTTGTTTCTGAAAACTAAAATAATCTTGCTTTTGCTTCCAAAATCCGTTTTTATATTGTTTTTATTTTTATTTTTTTATTTTTTGAAAAGATTTTGACTTGCCTCCAGTTCACACAACGGACTTAATTGTTCAATTTTGGTCCATGAACCCACCAGAAGTCCCACTATGACAGTTCGATATATTTATCTTACATATTTTTGTGGACAATCTAATTCATATTTTTTAAACAAATATAATCTAATCCATGTTTATCTTCAAAAAAAGAAAAATGAAACTTGTTTTTTAGATTCAATGATATGGTAGGATGATTGGTTTGATAATTAATAAAATATGAGAGAGATTGGTTGATTGATTATTAGACTTAAAAAAGTGAGTCTAATTTTTTTAGTTTGAATAACATTCTTAAAAAAAATGAATCTTTTTGGAAAGTAATAATTTTAGCCTAAAAGTTAAAACCTTTTTAAAAAGTTATTAAAAAAACAAAAAACTTATAATTTATATTAAAAAATTAAAGATTTCATTTTCTCTTTTACACATCTTTTCGTAAGAAATTAAAAAATCATTCAAAAAATACAAGTTTTTTATCTCATATTTTAGTCAAAAAGTCAAAAAAAATTCTAAAATAAGCTACCCCGAAACAAGACCTATGTTCATCTTAAAAAAATAAACGATTTAATCTTTATTTTCAAAATACATGCTATAAAATTGTTTGACTACAATTATCATCAAATTGAAAACTAGGTGAACTCCATGGTCAAGTCTACTGTTTAGGTAAGCTAGAGACAAGACGCTTCTTTTTTTAAAAAAAAAAAACTGTTTTGAAGCATGTTTTGAAAACTATTGGATTTGTCTACATGGAGGGGATCAAAATCTAAAATGTTGGAATTACATGAACGACATGAAAAAACCAAAAGAGTCAACATACCATCAAAGGGAAGCTCCCCAGCTGCAACAAGTTTGTCGACGCAAAGATAAGCCCAAAAGTTGCAAGTACTCGAAGTACGGAACGAAATCGCTGGGATGCCCAACTCTTCAGCAACATCAATTGCAAAGCTCAAAAACCCATCAGCTATAACGCAGGTCACCGGCTTTTTTCCATTCAAACGACGCCGGTGCGATACCAGCATCTCTCTGAGGAGCGGCTTTGCGGTGGCTCCAAAAGCATGAAAAAAGTCCATGACTTTTTGGCCAGAACGGGGGTCGTCTTCCGGCAGCCCATCCGAGATGGGCTCGAAATGAAACCCGGGATAGCGATCGAAACGCGATTGAACGTTGCTGTTGCGGAGGAGCCTGCGCTGGGTGTGCTCGGTGACCACGAAGGTGACGTGGATACCAGCAAGGCAGATGAGCTCTGCTAGCTTCAGCATGGGGTTGACGTGTCCCTGTGCCGCGAACGAGAAGATGAGTACGTGAGGTACTTCCAGTTCTGCTACTACTCCCTGATGATCCATTAAATTGAATTTTGCTTGTGTTTGCGAAGAATGAAAGTGTTATTAAATGGATAGGATGGAATAGAATAGAATAGAATAAAATAGAATAGAACTTCCGATGCCTGTAAAATGAGGAGAAGGTTAACCTATATATATATTCGTTTTTGGTAAGAAGGTTTGGTGTTTAAATATTGATTATTATTAGAGTATAAAATTGATATATATATAAGGACAACAAGCAAGCTAATGTACCAATGTAACCATAGGATTTGACATTAAATGATAAAATAAGAATGCTTGTCTCCGCTTCAGTCCATACGAATCGGACACTGGGGTTCTATCCGTAGGGATAAAGTAAGCAACTGCTTGTCTCCGCTTCAGTCCATGTAGTTCCAGCTGCCTATTACTGCTTTTATTTTGATATTCAGAGTATTTAATCAGATTATATTTGTCTTATAAAATGAACATTTTATTTTAAAAATCAATTTATCGTACATTATTTTGTAATTCAATCAAAAATCTATTGACATTTTTGTCAATCTAATTTTTTACTTGAGTAATTTACTTACCTGTCAGATAACTTTATTATTTTATGACAATATCACATGGACCATCGGAACATTACATTTCTAGTTGTGTCTGCATTATTTTAATGTTAATTTATCATTTAATAATTAATGTTGTCACAATTTAAAATAGATTTTGCTTCTTGTATGACTACAAACTTAATATAATAATATAAACAAATTCAATAGATACTATCGTCATACTAAATTTCTGTCGGGAAAAATTGATGTTATAATGTAAATACTTGCCTGGATATCATCGTCAAAACAAGTTTATGTCGGTAAGATACATCATCACAACAAATTCTTGTCGGGACTATTTTATTGTTAATTATCATATTTATATTAGTATTGCGATATTTTAAAATATATATTAGTTATTAATGTATGACAATAATAATAATGTTATCATATAAAAGCTTCTCCGCCGGCTGAACTATATTTAAGGTTGTCTCCAACTAAGACTTTAATGTTTAAATATTAATTTAAAGATTGATCTAAATTTCTTTTTTTTTTTTTATATATATAGATTCAACAAACAAATGCTTTGTGTACTTATCACATAAATGATGTTAATCCATATACAAAGGCCCCGTTTGGGGACTTATTTTTTTAGTCAATTAGTTAAAAAGTTATTAAATTAGTCAAAAAATCAACAATTCATACCAAAAAGTCAAAGATTCTCTTTTTTCTCTACTTTTTGCACATCTTTTCGTAATTAACCAAAAAGTCATCCCAAACATACAAATTTTTTTTACCTACCTTTTTAGCTAAATTTACTAAATTAGCATGTTCCCAAACGAGCCAAAGTAAGAAAAAATTGATAAAATTCACTAGCAACAAATATTAACTATTGAAAAAATTTCATATTATAAAAATTTTAATTAAAATTTCATATTTATCACTTTTTGATATGTATAATTACTAATTAAGTTTTTAATCAAAATTTTCTAACATATCTTCTTCAATTCATAATATTCCTAATTCATTTTTTATTATGACATAATCGATGTTAGGTTGGATTTTATTAATTTTAATTTTGAAAAATCTTTTTCAACAAATGCCATAGTTGTTATTATAGTAATATTTTGTAAGTAATGCAAACATTTAGAAAATAATCTAATTTCTAATAGGAGTATAATTCATTACATTAAAGAAATGTTATAATTAATTTAAAATTTTAAATTGAAAAATTCAATTTTATTAAAAATATCAAATATCACAACTATATTATCGATTAAAAAAAATCTAATAAATTAAGGGGTTATATTGGCTGATACTGACAATTCGTTGGAAAGGCTACGAAAGTGCCAAAGTCGGCCTGCTGGAGCCATGCTACCTACTATTCATCTCAGTGTCGTGTCACATTTCGTTTTGATTAACTGTGCTTGCAGCGCAACTGCAAAAAAATTCTCCCACGTGACGGCGAACTGTTCAATTATATTTGGTGATTTGTTGATGTTAGCTGTAGCGGAGGAGCCTGCGCTGGGTGTGCTCGGTGACCACGAAGGTGACGTGGATACCAGCAAGGCAGATGAGCTCTGCTAGCTTCAGCATGGGGTTGACGTGTCCCTGTGCCGCGAACGAGAAGATGAGTACGTGAGGTACTTCCAGTTCTGCTACTACTCCTTGATGATCCATTAAATTGAATTTTGCTTGTGTTTGCGAAGAATGAAAGTGTTTTTAAATGGAGAGGATAGAATAGAATAGAATAAAATAGAATAGAACTTCCGATGCCTGTTAAATGAGGAGAAGGTTAACCTATATATATATTCGTTTTTGGTAAGAAGGTTTGGTGTTTAAATATTGATTATTATTAGAGTATAAAATTGATATATATATAAGGACAACAAGCAAGCTAATGTACCAATGTAACCATAGGATTTGACATTAAATGATAAAATAAGAATGCTTGTCTCCGCTTCAGTCCATACGAATCGGACACTGGGGTTCTATCCGTAGGGATAAAGTAAGCAACTGCTTGTCTCCGCTTCAGTCCATGTAGTTCCAGCTGCCTATTACTGCTTTTATTTTGATATTCAGAGTATTTAATCAGATTATATTTGTCTTATAAAATGAACATTTTATTTTAAAAATCAATTTATCGTACATTATTTTGTAATTCAATCAAAAATCTATTGACATTTTTGTCAATCTAATTTTTTACTTGAGTAATTTACTTACCTGTCAGATAACTTTATTATTTTATGACAATATCACATGGACCATCGGAACATTACATTTCTAGTTGTGTCTGCATTATTTTAATGTTAATTTATCATTTAATAATTAATGTTGTCACAATTTAAAATAGATTTTGCTTCTTGTATGACTACAAACTTAATATAATAATATAAACAAATTCAATAGATACTATCGTCATACTAAATTTCTGTCGGGAAAAATTGATGTTATAATGTAAATACTTGCCTGGATATCATCGTCAAAACAAGTTTATGTCGGTAAGATACATCATCACAACAAATTCTTGTCGGGACTATTTTATTGTTAATTATCATATTTATATTAGTATTGCGATATTTTAAAATATATATTAGTTATTAATGTATGACAATAATAATAATGTTATCATATAAAAGCTTCTCCGCCGGCTGAACTATATTTAAGGTTGTCTCCAACTAAGACTTTAATGTTTAAATATTAATTTAAAGATTGATCTAAATTTCATTTTTTTTTTTTTTTTTATATAGATTCAACAAACAAATGCTTTGTGTACTTATCACATAAATGATGTTAATCCATATACAAAGTGAGAAAAAATTGATAAAATTCACCAGTAACAAATATTAACTATTGCAAAAATTTCATATTATAAAAATTTTAATTAAAATTTCATATTTATCACTTTTTGATATGTATAATTACTAATTAAGTTTTTAATTAAAATTTTTTAACATATCTTCTTCAATTCATAATATTCCTAATTCATTTTTTATTATGACATAATCGATGTTAGGTTGGATTTTATTAATTTTAATTTTGAAAAATCTTTTTCAACAAGTGCCATAGTTGTTATTATAGTAGTATTTTGTAAGTAATGCAAACATTTAGAAAATAATTTAATTTCTAAAAGGAGTATAATTCATTACATTAAAGAAATGTTATAGTTAATTTAAAATTTTAAATTGAAAAATTCAATTTTATTAAAAATATCAAATATCACAACTATATTATCGATTTAAAAAAAAATCTAATAAATTAAGGGGTTATATTGGCTGATACTGACAATTCGTTGGAAAGGCTACGAAAGTGCCAAAGTCGGCCTGCACGAGCCATGCTACCTACTATTCATCTCAGTGTCCTGTCACATTTCGTTTTGATTTACTGTGCTTGCAGCGCAACTGCAAAAAAATTCTCCCACGTGACGGCGAACTGTTCAATTATATTTGGTGATTTGTTGATGTTAGCTGTATGTCATAGTTGTATTTTATCTATTTGTATTGTATCTCTTTCTATTTTTATTTCTTTTTAGTTTTATCTCTATTTTTTTTTATACTTATCTAAGTTTTCTTTTTATTTATATATACAAGCTTTTCCTATTGTATAGAGTTTATTTATATACAAGCTTTTTATTTCTTTTCCTATTTTATTTATATATTATTCATTCAGTTCAATATAGAGTTTCTTTTTTCTCTTCTCTCTCTACTTTCATGACATGGTATTAGAGCTTAGGGTTTGGTTCTGTCCTCGATTGGTTTCTGCTGGCTTCTGCGTATTTAGTCCATCTCTGTTGCCAAGTTTGGCCTATACCCCCATCTTCTTCTCTTCATGATGAAGTCAACGCCACCAGAATCACCTCCATCAGACGTCACAGGCGCCCTCACGCGCCTCTCACATCCTGGCGCGTCGGTTGCCTTCGGTTCCACGCTCACACACGCGTCATCTCATCCACCCTCGGCTTCTGCCCTTCGGCTTTCGCCTCAGCCGCCATCGGCTCGCCCATCGGCTTCCGCCTCAACTGATCCGTCCTCGACTTCCGCCTCAGCCGATTACCCTCGGCTTCCGACTCAGTGCCGATTGCCCTCGGCTTCCGACTCAGCTAACTCTTTTTCGGCTTCCGCCTGGCCTCTCTCAGCCGCATGCCTTGTTTCGTTCAGCCGCTGACATCAGCCCTTCACAGCTCCTACCTGGTTGTTGACATCATCCTAGCTCAGTGCTGACATCAGCCCTAACCTGTGCCTAAAATTTTTCTGCCTTCTGAATCTGTTGGTGACCTCTGTTTTGGAATTTATTGATCGTATTGAAAACATCCAATCTGTTTCTATTATCCATGACGGGTCCAATTATGTTAGTTGGGCTCAAGCTCTCTCTAGTTTCATCAAAGGCAAACGTCTTTGGCAGATCGTTACTGGTGCTCTTTCCAAACCCCACCAGAAGGCGGATGAGACGGACTTTGCATTCGATGACCGTCTTGATGAATGGGAAAGTAAGAATTATCAAATTATCACATGGTTCCGGGTTACCTCCGTTCCTTTCATCAACCTTCAATTTGGACGCTTTCAGGATGATGACTCCCTTGCCTCTCCTGCCAAAGCAATTTGGTATTTCTTAAAGG